TAACCCTAAACGTTAATTTCTAGGTACCCCTTTGACCCCCCATAACTCCGTTAGGGGGCACATTAGGAAAAAAATTATAGGAAGGACTAGTTTTATTTTGACCTCCCCTATACACTCCCGAGAGATTAGGAGGTACTTACCGGACACCCTGTATATCGTCTAATTAATTTCAGTACTGTAGGCATATCCTATTAATCATTTATGATTTATTTTTCCACTTAATATTTAGTTAATTAAAAACCAAGTCTGAGTAAAAATGATAAGTTAAATTTAAATCATATTAGAGAAAAAGTCAACTCAAAATAGGTTTTATATACTCAGAATAGAGTTAAAAGTCACTCAATTGATAGTTACCAGTAACTCGGATTTGAGTGAAACTCACTCATTTCTGATGCAATAGTTTCACTCAGTTGTACTCGTACCAATAGAGTGAAAATTTCACTCAATCTGGTGTGAACAGAAATTGATACATTATTGAGTAAAATTGAGAGAAATTTGAGTGAAATTTTTTTACAGTATAGGTTATATAAGCGAAAAAACGACCCTAGCGGTGAAGTTATAAACTTGAAAATATTTTAAATCAATTTCTTTTGACCTTAAGTATTTGTTAATAGATTTTTTACCCTATAATCGTAGTACGTCTAGTTTCCTATGTACAGCCGCTCTTTACCATTAATGGCTCACCCTGTATATTATTTTCGACCGATTTTTACTAATATCTAACCTACATCAAGCAACAGCCATGCCAATATGTACTTCTAATGAACTACCTACAAATTATAATAAATAATTCAAAACTGTTAATGATAATAAAGAACGTGTAGTCACAGTGTAGAAAGAAAACATTTTCTACTACCTAGTTTAATTTGTAAGGAAACGCCGGTATACGTCCAGGATCGGCAATCAGTCATTATCAATTTACCGGAAACATTTGCAGAAGTAGAGGCATTCGTTGTAATGGAACAAATTTGTCGCGTGCTCGGGCACAGGTCTAGAACACCGGTTGAAATAAAGTAAAACTTCTTGTACCGGTAATGTTAAATTTCTACTAGAAATTAACAGGCCTGCGTACCTGAATAGCACGTGCGGATGCAGTGGAGCGAACTTTTATTTCCGTCTAGCAGCCTTTGGTCTGGCAGAAAATGGCTAAATGGGTTTTCATGCTTTAATAACTTGTACTTAACAAACCTACCCTCATTCTTATTGATGTATACAGTATACTTAACGAAAATTCCGGTAGCATACTGTGTAAGAATTAAAAAGATACCAAGAATTTATGAACATTATATATGGAGTGTTCTTAGGACAATTTTATGTCGTCATTCTCAGTGTAAAATATACCAATTTATGACCTCTATATTGCATAAAATCGATAAAAATTATTTCTTGTAGGGGATTTATTCCTAATTTGGAATTTAAGGATAAAGATAAACGTTATTCTAAGCAAGGACGTCAATATATTTGAAGTTGCGACATAAAACAGGAAATTTAAGAGATGGCAATGCCTTATGTTGGCCTCATAGCTATAGTTTGGTTTGAGGACATACATGTCTAATCCTACATGAAAAATAGACATATATGAAAAAAAAACTTTTAATAATAATTATAGGTATTATCTAAGTAACTTCGATTTGAAAATAAAAATTTGAAAAATTTAAGGTCTCTCCGAAGCTATAGAATAGTACATCATGATATTTCATTCCATATAGAATTTTGTAGTTAAGATAAGTTAAGGGATGATTTTCATATACAGGGTGATTTAGGAAGAAATGACAATATTTTAGGTACGTATTCAGAGACCCTAAATAAATACAAAAGTACCTATAAACATGGATCCTGTTACATAACAGGGTTAATCAATATTCAATTTAAGATTTTTATTAAACTATAACAGGTAGGTTAGGTTCTATAGTTTCCAAAATGCCACCGTTTACTTCTAAACACAAGTCAGATTTCTCATGAATAGCTCGGGTCGTTCTATTATGAATGGATGCAGGTTTATTATAGTTGTTGCTGCAGAGTAATGCATCTCTAGTGTTTACTTGAATATAACAATGATTTAAACTATCCCCAAAGACAATGATCCAGAGGATTACGGTCTCTCAATCTAACTGGCCAATTAAGGGGACACCTCTACTAATTCAATGGTTTGAAAAAAAAGAAAGAGAAAATCTTAAATTGAATATTTTTACACCTGTTTTGTAACGGTTGAGAATAGGACCCATGTTTATATTTATTTTGGGTCCCTGAATAACCTAAACTATTGACATTTCCTCCTGATCACCCTGTATAACCAAACTACAATAAATAATAGTAGCATAGTTTTACCTGTAGTACAGTTACACATTTGTTTCTGATTCAAGTTCATATTTTTCAGTCTCGTGAAATTTTATATTTTCATTTATCTCTTTTTATAAAATTTGGGACGCAAGCAAGCTAAAGCCCAAATCAGTGCTCTCAATTGCAAAAGAAAAACAGTATTTTGGTAATGAGTAATTACACTCAGTAGGAGAGCTTATTAGACTTAAATTCTGTTTGTGCCTTTTTTCATAAATTCTAATTTTATTCTGCATAAGCGGAATATATTGGTTTAATAGACTTTCTTTTTTTGTTATAAATCTAAACAGCTTATTACACTTTATCAAGTAATTATAAAAGTAAAATTTATTTTACAGTCAGATATTACACAAAAATCTTTAATCTCGATTACACACTCAATGTTCTCATTGTTTTCGATATAACTTGATGTAATTGTTATAATTTTTTATGAATAAAACTGTCGATTTTGTTAAAATTGAGTTGTAATTTATTTCCATTGCAAAATTGTGGAAATTATCTAAATTGTTGTGATCTATTCTACTAAAATTTTAATGTATTTTCTAGTATATAAAAGAAATTTACAGAAATAGTAAGAAATCTCCAATTTCGTTAATGTAAACCAAGAATAATACTGGCCCAAAACTAAGAATTATGAGGTAAAGCATAAAAGGTTTTAGCTTTATACTATGGCAATTCGGAGTTACAAATAATTCGCTTCTCACTATAGGGATCTCGGAAACGGTAAGAGATACGAACTAGCTTAAATGATGGCAAAGTTGCATAATCAAGAGACCAACATTATGCCTCTAACAAATCAAGGCTAACATGATTAGTTTTCGAAATATTTGAAAAAAACCGAAATTTCGGAAATCCGTTTTTGTTTCATTTCAGCCTTGTATAGGTGATATTAATAAATGAAGAACACTTTCTCATAGCAACTATTTGCAGTCTATCGAATGGCATAATCAATTTTTATATGTAACGTCTCGTCTCTCCAGGACCATCATCACCTTAAACGACCCTGGAAATTTTATTACATATTTTGCAAGCCTTCATGGCCCCCAATACCTTACTGCCTCAGCTCGAAACAGATTCAGATGATTTGTCTCGAAAAAATCATCTTCAATGTATTCGTTCCAAATTTATCTAAATTTATTATTTAGATTTCTATGTTTATTGAATTTATCGTACACTCTAAGTGTTGTTAGACCCTGTGAAATCCAAAAAGACGTGAAAGACATTTTTATATATTTTTAACTAACGATATTCGACAGCAGAATCACCTAAAAAAATATTACGTACTTTGTAGATTATATTTCACTCTGTTTTATAATATTGATTTAAACAATCGTAGTGATAAGTTACCAGTTTATAAATAATTGCACTATAATTTAGAACAAATTGATAGTTTATACCTACCTACCCTACCTATGTTGAAAATGTATGTGTTACAGATTATTGTAGCTTGTAGTCATTCTTCGCATACTATCCATGATAAGTAATTAACGAAATACAACGTAAACAGACAGTGATTATTCACTAAGCTACCAAAGTCATGTCTCGAAAAACGTTATACCTAATTATTTGTTAAAAATTAAGACAGATGGACGAGTGTGACGGAACTAAGGGTTTAAAAACATAAAGAATTGTAATAAATGCAATTTTCAGTATAATTAATTCTACTAAGCAATACGTGATGTCTTTGTGTGATATCAGTACAACAAAAAATTGGTCATCCACGCGTCACAAAGACCACCTCATAGATGTAATTTTTCGTGTCTCCAGTGAACGTGCTAAAATATAAAAAATGCTTCCTCTTCAACGCAGTCAAATCTGGGTATTACACAAAAATTATAAACAAAAGGAAAGATATTGTTTAATATCTACATAGCCTTGTACAACTTTTTCTTTTCTCAAAATTAATATAGACGTTTGACTGGTATTAATTTCTGTAAAAAAAATAAATAAATAGTTACTGTCTCTGGAACATCTAATGTGAGAGACACTGCATTTAATACCAATTCTGAAATCTGGTGGGACTATAAATTTACCATGGTGCAGTTGCAACGAAGAGAGAAATAAATGCTGCTAGAGAGAGCTTGTAGTGGGTTGACGTCAGTGGTCACGTGACTCTCCAAAGGCTAAGCAGTGTTTTAGTTAAGATGGGTCGGTCTAAAGCCAACAATTAGTTCGCTGATTGTCAACGATTCAGCGATTGTCAGTTGTCACGTTTCGTTGAGGCGAGAAGGTTGAAGTGTGCATTTAAAAAAATCGGTGCGCGATTTTTCGAATTTCGTCCCTTTTTTAAAAGTACAGTGTGAAGTACGTGTTTCATATAAATCTATGGATTTGAATTTTTTGCAGCACAAGTTAGTTTTTGCGTTTTTAATTTTTACTCGGTTTTTGCTTATAAACTTTTTGTCTGCTATTGTTTTTATAAAGATAGATGGCTTTAGTTTTATCACGATAGTAGTGCACTACAATCCTGATAAAATTTTATCTTGTATTGATAAGATTGTTATCAATTTTTGAAAATGTCATCAATTTTGAAGAACTTGTTGTCATTAACGTAGGTGGAGGGTGATACGAATGTTTTGATTTATTTTTTAAGTGATTTAAATTGTTTATATAATTTGGACACTACTTTGATTGTATTAGTAATGTGCATATATGTTTTATAGTCCATTATATTCGAGAGGACCTGGCACCTATACGACAGGAGCGATGCCGTATTATAATAGTGGATCTCCTGAATTGACAACACAATCATCACAACTATGGACAAATTCAGGTAAATCATATTTTTTATTACCCTGTTATGAAAACAATATATTTTCCAAATAAATTTATTTAAATATGAAATCTAAAATGTTCATTAAAAATAATTCAGAAATAGCTTATTGGGAAGTATACGTAATACATATTTGATGCATATAGATATTGTATTTTATATGAATCTAATAGGTTTTATAAATATTTATCTACTCCTTTACTTTAAAAGATGTTTTAAGAAAAAAAGAATAATTGTCATTCAATTAAAAAGTTTAACCTATTCTGCAATTATTTGACATTAACTGATGTTAAAACATGATAAACAACTTTTACAAGCATTTTCTATATTACATTTATGTGTATTTCAAAAAATATTATGTTTTATTCTCTGTGTATAATAAAATGCTTCTTAACATTGATGTAGGTATATATTTTAATTTGCAATATTTCATTTTGTGCAACCATTCTTTAGGTTGAAATAATTAACTAGTGATGTAATGAAGACATACAAATTAATATTACGGGATAATTAAACTTTCATTGGCTAACTAAATGAAGATATCCTCAAGTCTTCATATTTATTCAATATGCAATTGTTATTTCAGTTTCAATATTCGTAATTTGATTAAATTGGTCAAGATTTTTTGCCTTTTCTGCTTTTAAATAATCCGTAAAAATTGTTACACCTACTTAGTGTACCTAATAAAAATTAGTGTTTAATATATAAATGCGTATTTTGATAAGAACAGATGCTTGTCGGTTAATGGCTCAGTACTTTACCCTTAGTAGATTATTTGTTAATAGTACTTAATTGCAGTTAATTTTTGCAATCAAATATTTTTATATCTCTCATTATTGTTTTTGTTACTGACCTGCTTCAAAATATTTATTTAAAAATAATTCAACATAAAGAAATTCTGTTAACATCAGAAGATAACTTCGTAAAATAAATTAAGTGAAAAATAATCGTCAGTGTCCTGACTGACCTCACCTGATAATTTTTCGATAAACTTTATGCGATTTGATAATTATGTTATTTTTATATTTGCATTTATATCTCCGTTTTTGGATAAATACAAATACTATTGCTTCAACTTAAATTTCTCCCAAATAAATAGGCTACATTTCAAAGTTTATGTACTTGTTTTAACTGTTAAGGCCACGAAACGTGAAAATGTTTAATTGCAAAGTAATGGGTGCTATTAGCTATTGGGTCTTTCCGTGTGTTAGATTTGTGTCAGTTACCAAATAATATAACGTCAGGATATTCTTTTAAATTAATCCATGTTAAAAAAATGATTAGAATTCATAAAAATAAATCGGTTGCATATTTTACTTTTAGTGTTAACATTAGATTTATGCAACTCTATTATAAGAATATATTAAGTAGAAAGAGGATATCTTTGAATTGTCGCAAATAGTCGTTTTTGCGGTTGCATTTGAATATCAATGAAACCGAAATTGGTTTGTAGATTTATGCAATTGTCGCCAGGATTGTCCATTGGTTGTCACTTTAAATAATATGTTGACATTTCATAATTCAATTTCAGAACATTCTAACGAAAAAACTGAACATTAAACCTTTCAGGATTACGTATTATTAAAAATGGAACACACATACACAGTAAAAAATATTATAGTGTAATTCAAGGTTATTTATAAATGAAATTAATTTTGAGTGAGCTTTAGAGTGAACAAAGGAATAAAATATGTGAGAATGGGAAGATACTGTATAAAAATCACTCCATTCGTTGTTAATATTACACATTTCTAAAGAAAGGGAATAGAAAGTTTTGTATAAACAAATACCGATGCACAGTTGGTACTGTAATCAAGAATTGAATTTAGTTACTTTATATGTAGTGTACCTACCAATATGACACAAAGTTTAACAAGCTAACTCAAACATTATTCAATGTCAAGAATTGAATTTAGTTACTTTATATGTAGTGTACCTACCAATATGACACAAAGTTTAACAAGCTAACTCAAACATTATTCAATGTTATCAATATAAGATTTACTTGGCTAATAAATATTTGAGTGAATAATGTTATTATTTAAACACAATTGGATGTGAACTTGTTAAAAAAATGTGTTAATTTTAAGTGAAAATTTACTCAATTTTTTTGTACTAGATTGGAAAACATAAATCAAGAAACAATTTATACTCATTAAGAAGATAACTTTATTCATGTGCATTATAAACCTTTTAAGATTAACATTAAAGTTAAAGAGAAAGATCTTCATATACCTAACTCTTATCATCTTGCTATAATAAAAAAAAAATTCTTTGTTTTCTAATGTCCACCAATGTGTATGAATAGTTTTAGCATTTAGCAAACACTGTTATAATACAGTGTCCATGTTATAACTTTAGTAGGTTGTTCTTTAGTTTTTTTTTGGGCCACAAAAAAAAATGTATGCGTGTACATGTGTCGAAGACAAGTGGTATCAGATATTTGATTTATACAGGGTGTTTCTGAAATAAGTCCGTTCCTTGAAAAGGGTGATAGAGAGCACGAAAATGAGCAAGTTTTATTAGGTTAAATACTTCTGTTTTCGAAATTAATTAAGAAAATTAACCATTGATGAAAGCCGACCCTGTGCATCTTGTGCACGTGCGTTGTGTGCTGCAATGTTACTTAGCCGGCCTATAAAATGTTTTCTGATCAAGAACTAAGAGATATTGTGTTAATATATGGAGAATGTCAGTACAATTTAAATGAATCGTTTGTATGCGGTCCGTTACCGTAACAGACGACAATTTAACATTAGAACAGTGCAAAAGGCAGTTCAAAGGTTACGGGATACCGGGAATATCCACCTGACATGAAGGCAGCAACGTGTTTTCGACAACGAAGAAAACTCATTAACCTGGTTGTGGAATTTTTCCAGTGGTTCGAAATCAAATAGCACAATATCCGGATTTTACATGCAAGGTGTTTTTTACAGATGAATGTTGTTTTATTAGAGACTGTATACTAAATTTTCACAACATTCACTATTGGTATGAAGCAAATTCTCACGTTGTACAAAGATCTCGATTCCAGCAACGGTCTTTAGTGACTGTGTGGTGTGGTGTTTTTTGTGACATACTTTTAACCGACACATAGTGGGAAATGGAAAAAATTCTACGCACTCAGCCATTTTAACCGTACAGTGGCAATTTCTTTTTTATTCTTCAAATATGCTTAATTTTATGGTCCTGGTGATTTGATATATCTACATAGGAATTTTTAAATCGAGTGAGAACCCATCAATCTCAATACCAAAGATCAATCAAATCAAAAATTTTTCGTGTTCGTGGTTGATTAAACAACGAAAATAATTATGTAGTTTCACAATACTTTTCAACCTTAAACCTGAACCCAAAAACGTAACCTCAAATTCACTTACTTGAAAGCTATATTTTTGAGTTTATATTTCCTAACCCTTTAAACCACAAACCTACACCCATGAAAACCTAACCTCAAAATCTTCAAAACCTAACCCCAAACCTTCAAAATCCAACTTCAAATTCTAAAAACTTGAGCTAGAAATTCTTATGTTCCACACCAAAGAATAAAAATCCTTGAAAATTTTCTGGAACTTATATTTTTTATGTTTGAAGCGGCTGACCTCTATTCTTAAATGTCTAACCTCAAATCCAAAAAATCTGAGTAAGAATGTCAAACGAAGGATATTTTCCAAACCAAAGAATGTCCACGCTGGAGTTAATATTTTGTATTTCTGAAGCCTAAAACCTGTGCTATGTTCATAAAACTTTAACAACTCAAACCCTTGAAACTTATCATATCTACAAAAAATAAGTGGATATTTAGATAGATAGATAAAATTTCATTCTATGAATTATAACAATTTCAACAACTTCAGCTAAAAACTCAAACTCAAAATCTATATTATATACCGAAATTATGGGATGGACTGTATTTCGTTATCTTTATTTATACAAGACTTAAGCCTTTTTACCGCGTTAAGGTAGCAGTCTTTAAAAGGGTAGTTTTTCTGTTTTTTTGTTTTTTTTTGTTTTTTCTTTTTGTTTTTTGGTCTTTTGTTCGTTTTTGTTTTTTTTACTTCTAATTTTTATTCAATGTTAACAAAAATTTTATTTTGAAATACCGAATTATTATCTGATGTTGAGGCTGATAGGTTCTCAGTCGATTTAAAAAATTCATATATAGCCATAGCAAATTATCGCACCAGGATCATAAAATTAAACATATTTGAAGAAGAATAAAAAGGAAATTACCACTATACGGTTAAAGTAGCCGAGTGCGTAGAATTTTTTCCCAAATTTCCCATTGTGCGTTATTTGGAAGCATGGAAATAACTTTGAACAATTTTTGTAGAGCATATCGTCTATTGGTAAGTAATTCGGTTATTTGGTTTAAACTTTTAAACGAAAATTGAATAAATTTTCAGCGAACACAACATTTAATCCGTCAAAACTGCCATCCGCGCTTTGGAACTGCGGCGCGCGGCAGCTTCGACATCAAAGGTACAGATTCTTCATGTGAACATTGTTTTTTCAATTTAAAATGTATTGTTTTAGACCATAAGTTGCTTAATAAAAGTTGTTTATTATCACTCTTTTCAAAGAACGCACTTATTTCAGAAACACTCCGTATATACTTTCGATATTAGATCCAAGAAACGATTTCTTAAAGTTTTGACATGTACTTAGAGGAAACAGAATGTACAATTTCTTATAGGTGTAAATACAACAGGTACCATCGCTCTCACGGAAGATTACACAAAAGTGACGTCTTCATCGACCGGAAGCACATTGCCAGCCTTCAACAGATTGCCTTCATCGTTCCCTTCGAATAATCATCATCGAAGCACCTCGTATCCCGTGTCAAATACAACCCTTTACAATGACTGGCCGTATACATCGGATCAGTATGGCTTGAGCCCTGCAACATCAAGAAATAGACAGATATCAGCAGCCGCTTCACTATCAGCAAGTAAGTACATGTCTAAAAAATTACTATAAGTGAAATGATACGACAAAGTGACCAGAGCTGTGAATATTTGTCAAAACAGCGCTTTTACAATCGAACATATAAAATTATATATCTTTGTAGTGTTATGGATTTGTGTTTTAATCTAGATAACTGTTGATTGTACAGGAATTTAATATGGATAGTTTTCAGAGTGCGGTTTGTGGTTTGATATGCTCCACGGCTTTGGTTTTTCCAAAAAGTGATGGATGTAAAAATGGAGTGATGTTCTTTTGTATTAATTATTAAAAAAAAAAATTAAGATATTTTTCCGTTTCTGTGGAAAAAGGAAAGGTATACTTATAGTACACTACGCTATACAGGGTGTAAGAAGATTTGACTGCCATTACTTCTGCATGAGATAGAGTAATCATAAATGAACAAAAAAGTTGTATATTACAAGGGCCTAAGATAAACACTTTTCAAAATACAGCGAGTATTAATATTGAGGAGTTTCATCACAACGTTACAACAGCGCTTAATCTAACGCTACACATCTCATGCATACCACGTGTTCACGCGGCAGACTTGTCCTACGGAAAAAATGTAAACAACTATTATTGTAAAACATTTAGTAAATTTTAAGGCAATCGCTTTCCAGTTTTTAAATAAATAAAATAAAATGTACCTATCTATTTTATAGTACAAACATAGTGTTGTGCTTACATTTTAGTTCGAATTTTAGTAATTATGAATCTCTGAAGACAGGAACATAACTTTTAATCAAATTATGAATTTGAAAAATATGTAATTAAAGTACCCAAAGATTCACGTCATCCAAATAATCATACGTATTAAAAATAATTTAGGTACTTACCAAAAAGCAAAATTGATATTTAAACGCACAAGTACAAAACAAACTACAACATAGCCTCAAAATGTACACCACTAATTTCGATACACGCACGACACCTTCGAATCCAATTTTCGCGCACTCGCTGGAAAACACCTCAAGAAAAGGAAATAGTGGTACACAAAAAACACTCAGATACGGTCCAATTCCAGATATCAACTGAATTGCGTATTGCTGGACAGCTTATACCTCGTGTTATCCGTCGTGCCGTTGTCACATTGCTCGATAAAAATTGTATCGAATTTTAAATTTATTACAACGGTAATTATTTTTCAGAATTAAGCTCAAAAAAGTGATATCTAAATATTGTATTTTATGGTATTATATGCACGCAGTCAATATTCCTTAATTAATCGAACTTTTGTATTTTGATAAATTTTTTCTCGGATATTGTATGTGTTTAGGACCCATATCATATAAGGTTTTTTTTGTTTATTTTAATCTATTCTATAGTCTGTTAAAATTAGGGCTGTCGAACTTCTAACACCCTGTATATTACAGATAAAGTTCCATTCCATTTACATTTATGGGGATCCCGGAGAGTTGCTTAAATTATAAAAAAGTTACGGAACGGTGGCGCTTTTGAATAATGCTTTAATTTTTTCGTAACTCAGATTACTAGAAATGAAATTTTACGGAAACTATTTTTTCTGTTTTTTTTTATGTAACTTTGTAGTTGTAAATATTAGAAACTTGCATGGACTGGTGCTATTAGATATTTTCTGACTCTCAATTTTTTGTTTTTGTTTTTTAGTACTATGATTAGTTGTAACATTTTTGGATAGTCCTCGAAATGGATTCAAGGAGGTGTATTACGAATACTTAAAAAAAAAAATTCAAATTTGAGTAAAGCATTTTTTTTCACAATTGAAAATGATATAACTACAAATATTCTAATAGCACCAGTTCAGGCAAGGTGTTGATGCATCTAGATAGTACCTGAATTTAAGTATTTAATGCTTACAGTTATAAAGTCAAAAATGAAAAAAAAAAAAAAATGTTTTCTGTGTAATTAAATGTGTTTTTTTTTGTTTTAACTGCTTCACAGGGTGCCCATTTTAAACAAACACAAAAGGTGTTGAAAACAGGGATTTTTTTTATTTTTCATGTAATGAAAAATTCTGCTTCTGGTCAAATTTTGATAAATGTTTTAAAATTCAAAAGTTTACGAGAGGCAAAGGCATCTACGAAAGCATTTATCGTTGCGCAACCTTTTCTTTAATCGAAGCAACTTTTACGCCGCTTTCTGAGACTTCCACAGTGGGCATCCTATAAATAATTTATTTAATTTATATTTAATTTGTTTTGAAATATACTACGAAACTTGAAGCTATCATTGTCGTGTTATTTTTTAACGATAGCTGTTCGTAATTTTTTATTGTTAAACCTAATAGATCTAAATAAAAGGAAATGAATAAACAAAAAACATCTGTAATGTAAAATCAAATTATTTATTTGAAGTGGGTATGTACATAGAATAAATAATACATTGTTTTGCCCTCAGCAATTTTGTAGTTTTACAAAAAATGTCACAACCTTTCAGCAATAAAACTAGAAACCGCAGTGCTATATATCATTTTCCAAGTTTGAAGAAATTTTATGACCTCTTAATCCTCTTGCCAAAATTGTGGTGACACATGTGAACCTAGGCGAGACGTAGAAGGTACAGTCTCGGAAAGAAGTGACACTGTATTATGGCATTTGTGGTGTATTTTTATTGAATTTTATTATCATTATTGCAATTAATATTGCAAAAAGTGACAATGTAATTTGACATTTATTTAAAAAATACTTAAATGTAATAGTTTTGGTATATTATTTACACCAAGCGACTAAAGTGCATTTTTTAAAGCCGAGGGCAAAGTTTGTCACTCGAGACGTAGTTAAGGGCAATAATCATACGAGGAAGATATTTTATTTTTTGCACACTGTAGTCTATATCAAATTTATATACTAAGTTATAATACACTATAACAACTATCAAATTGTCAGGGTGAACGTTTGTATTTGTCTTTGTGGGTTTTTTTCCAGGACAAATTTTTCTTACAAGAGCCCGAATTTTTCAGTGGCAAAATAATCAATTTTTTTTTTTTTTGACAAACAAACAGGTCATACTCGAAAGATAGTTTCTTTGCATGGAAATAAACGGATTTGGATCAATTTATCTAACAATAAGTACAATTTTGGTTCTTTAAAAAATTATGGGCCCAATTCATTTTTTTATTAGGCACCTATGGATATTTTTTTTTAGATGACTCAGGAGTTTGAGGTAGCCGAATAATACAGATATGCCTTATCTAAAGTTAAGAACACGTGAAAAGGTTATTTGTGTATTTGACATATTTTTTTGACTGTGGAGATTTTGAGAAAATGCAGTTATTTTATTTATAGTAAAAACGTCTCTCAAAATCATAATTTCAGTGAAAATTTAACATCAAATTTGTGTCGTAGTTGTTAAATTCAGTTAGTCTAAACTCTAAAATATGTAATACCTAGATATTTTAGATTTTTTGCCAAAAACTGCATTTTGGCAAAACGTAACAAGTATACTTTTTTACTCGTTTTGTCAAAATCTTACCGAGAAAGAAATATGACAAAAAACCAAGATTTCTTTTGTGACCTTTGCGTAAGAAATTCTAAAAGTCTTAAAAAAAATTAGCCCTAAAGATAATTATTTTAAAATATAAATAAAATAAAACAAACAATAATTAAAAAATGATAAAATGATAACAAACAATAATCAAAGGTAATTTTTTTGAGGAACTTATCTCATACCTAGATACCTAATAAATTCATTTCATATAATATCTACCCACTATGTAATAAATCATAAAAATTATTATTCTTCTAAATGTTGCTTAATCAAAAGTTCTGTTAATTGAGCTTTTACCAAAATTGTTATAAAAATGTAAAAATACTTATTTCTTAAAGACAGCATATCCGACTAAACAGAACTTCTAAATTTGTGGTTTCGTGTGGAATGCATAAACTTTTTTATGCAGATGTACTCTTGGCTTTAGGGATACTTAACTACGCCGCTATAACATGGTCACTATGTGTGGCAATTTCTGGATATGCGAACAGATAGAAAACAGATAAGGGGCGTAAACTCAGGGGATTTATTCGGTATCTTTTACAACCTAGGCGTGTGTGGTTTTTTATCCCTTACACTTACAAATTATGGAACATTCCTTTTAACTTGTTAAGTCCTAAGTGGGTACAGCTGAAACAGATTTCGGTTAAAATGTCACAAAGAAAAGTCTTGACGACACTTGCAGTTGAACGTTCTTTAGGAAGTGCAGTTTTTAAATGTTTTATTAACTTTTTGCAAGCACTTTATTTACAATTATAAAAACTTTTTATTTAAATACACAATTTTACACAGTACACAAAAACGAAAAAATATTTAAATGTAGATTTTTTTGTTTAAACTGAAACACAATGTGTCCACAGAGTTGAAAACGTTGAATTTTTTTTAATTTTCATTAATTTATTTTTTCATGAAATAAAGTTATTCACATAAAAAAATTTCGCTTTGTTCAAATTTTGAAAAATATTATTTTAAGTGTATCAATATATACAAGGTGCTCTCTACAAAGTTTAGAGGTATGGTAGTTTTAATCTTCGAACTCAATAATACACTGTATCGGTTCCAACACTTAATACACGCATGGTGTCCATAGATAAATTTAACCGTAGGTTTCGTGAACACAAAGTTTTTAAGTTGTAATTCTAACATTTTGAGAAACGATCTTGTATGATTAAAAAGTTCTTTGTATCGTATTTCTATTTATGGATAATTAAATAGGCCTTGTCAGAAGCAAGTTATGTGTTCTGTGAAGGTAAAGTCCCTTTCTCAAAAAAAATTGTTGGGAAAAGTTGTTTATAATTAAAATTTATGTCAATATGCCAAATTTAGAGATAATCAACCAACTTTAACATTTTTTTATTTGATCAATAATTGAAACGTAAAATTAAAACTTGAAACTTTAATATGATTTTTAATTATAATCAGCTTTTAATAAATATTGTCCCCATTTTTAACATAACAAAGGGCACTTTACCTTCACAGGATGGAAAGATTTGCAATATAGGAATAAATTTTAATTCT